AATATGCCTTCATTGCAGTTTTAATGCCTTAATATTGACTCTATAGCTCTTTTGGGTAATTTTGCTTTCTCTGGTACTTGAAAGGTGATGATGTCAGCGTTCTTCATACTGATTCATATGCAGGTTGATGAAGCTGAGTTATTTATTGAGTTCCATTATATTTTCTATAAACATTAGTTCTCAATAAACAGAGACATTTAGCCGAGGGTTTATTTATTAAATAGGTACTGTACAGATGGTTTTGCCACACATGATGTGCTGCAGAGGATATTACTCAGGAATAATCAGCTGTGTTATAGCTTGGCTAAATTAATAAGATGATAATGATGAAATTGATGCTTTTGAGCTAGGCTTGGTAAATGGTTTTTGCATAAACAAACTGATAAATTTGAGAAGCAATTACTTGCTTGTCAAAGATAAAAACACAACAGGGCCCATTTATAGTTAGGTCCTATTTATTTTTAAAGATTGTACCAGATTTTATGTTTAATACGCTGCAATTAAAAAATAATACTTAAATGAAGAATAATAAAAAACTAACTTTCTGAGCTCTCCTTCAAATCTGAAGATGCAGCATTGCTTGGTTAGACATCAAGTAAACTTTTTTCAAGGCTTTCACTACATCTAGAAAAAATATAATTGTTTTGTAAAAGATGCTGCCTGGAGTTGTGCAATGCAGACTCTGGCAGCGCTTTTGGTAGCAGTATTTGCTCTAAAATTAAGCTGGATTTCAGCTAGAGAAACACAGTCTCCAATTCCCTGTTTAATGTGGATTTCTCTGCAGTGATCACACAAGCAAACAAAACACACATGTACTCCCCACACATCCACCTCCAGGTACTTGCCAATAAAATAATGAAATGGGTGTGGAGAGAGGTAGGTGTGTACCTCTATATGCACAACAAAGAAGACATCACTTGACTTGTTTGCTAGGAAGTGTGTGTGTTATGTGATTTTGCACACCAGCCAGAGTAGTTTGTTCCTGTTTAGAAAAAACAAAGGGATAGGTGATGTGCAGCCCTTCAGGTGGTCCCACCAGAGGGCAGCTCCTGAGCTTCTGACACTGTGTTCTCAGAGAGGTAGCAGCCTCTACAGTGGCCGTGGTTGGTGGTTTCCTTCTGAGGCTTTGAAGGCACCTTATTACACACATTTTAGTTTTGTAATGTCCCTGAGAGAGAGCTGTTGTCATACAGCTTTTTGTCACCTCCATTGTGGGGTCAGGCAGATCTTGTGTGCACTGGTGGGACAGTGATGCTCCTAACAGCTTCTTCACCTTCCCATGCACTGAAGGAAAGACTCACGCCTCCAGTTATTTCTTTCTTTCCTTGAAAATCTCTGCACACCCATGTCTTCTACATAAAAATGCTGCTGTGGGACTGTCCTAAGTGACTGTACCTGGGATGAGGAATCAGATGGCCAAACCCAGCAAGCTGCACAGGCATGTCCTAACTTAGGAGTCTCCACTACACACTTTCTGAAACAAAAGGCTTTTACTTGTAGTCCTAAAAGGATTTTTGCTTCAGTAATTTTGTCTGTAAGGACTTAAAACCAATAGCAATGAGTGGGAAGAATCCAGCCCTGCAGCAGCATGCACCAGCACCGGCAGGAGATCCTGCTTGCCCAGGACTTCCCAGCTGGCAGTGGGATGGCACTGTCAGGAGGCTTTGCAAAGGGAGTGGTTGAGGAGCCCTTCCCCTTGCTATTTAAAATGTCACACCATGAGCGAAAACCAGATTTCTAACAATCCTCCTTTGCTTTCCTTAGAAAAACCCTTTTCCGTTTTTTTTAGGATATTTGTTCCTGAAGTACTAGTGCAAGGTATTCTATGACTTGATGTTAGCAAGTACTTCAAGTGTTTGTCTTGCAGCTGTTCATAAAGCATTTAAGGTCTTATGCCAACCTGAAACTCTCAGGAGGGATGAGCAAGAAAATGTATGCAACAATGTCTACATAAAGGAAAATTCATAGCATGTCACAACTTTAGCTATGTCTGTAAATTAGTCCACAACCAGACACAGTTTTTGCTGTTAGTTCAGATTGATTACCTGAATTGCAGGTATTCATTGTAACAAAATGAAACAAGAGCATTGGTTTAGCCTTAAAAATCTGAAATGAAGTTGTCTACAGTACTTGTGCCAAAGGTATGAAGCTCACAGGTGGGCTTTTCCCTGCCGTGTGGGTCTGGGTGCTGCCTGCCAGGGTGCTGGGAGCAGCACAGCTCCTGCTGCAAAACCCAAACCAAGCTGGCAGCCACCACCTTGGCTCTGCCCAGCTCCCACCACCCCAGAGGGAGATGAGCCACTGGAATGCTGCAGTAAATGTTCTCTTGACCCAGAGCTGCCATGCTGCCTTTTTACAGTTCCCCCAGGCTGTGCTTGTGGGAAACAGAGGAATAGGTTTGCTTTCACAAAAATATTATTTATATCATAATAACTATTTATAGGCTTTCACAAATATTTTTAAAGTTTGCTTGTTGCTCTGCAAGGGAGATTTGAAATTATGTGACTTTTGGAAATTAAAAAAAAATATATGGTGCAGATCAACCTGCTCAGCTGAGATGGGTTTGCAGGGGACAGGGACTTCCCTGCACTGCTCCTCCAGGAACAAACTTAGCCCAGATATCAGTGCGAACTGACATCCCTGCTGCTGAACTGAGCCATTTTTAGCAAGGAGGTGTTGAGTAGGGAAGGATGAAGCCATTCCATGTTGTGGTGCCACATTTACCCAGGCTCAAGGTCAGTGTGAAATGGAGCTGATGGATGGCATGGGTTCATAAAAGTAGGTCTTGACAAAAGACTTGGGTGAGAACTTCCTTGGGAAAAAAGAGACTATATTCTTTTGGGAATTGCCAAGGTTCTTGAGGAGGGAAAAAATTCGAGAAGTCGATGTCACTTCAGTGCTTTCAAAGAGAATTGTTTTTTATGCATTGCTGGAAATTTTAAAAAGTGAAGTTTTTGTTTGGTTTGTTTGGGGCTTTTTTTTTTTAATACCATGTTCAAAGAAAATATTTACTTCAAGTAAAATAGTAAAGATTTTCTGTTAATGAAAATCTTCTCTTCCTGTACAGCTTTACAATGCCCAAATATATTACTGGTCAACGAAAACTGAGACAGAATTTTCCCAAAATTCTGTTGAAGTTTTTTCCTCCTTTAGACAAGGTCGGTGCTCAACTTTGGTTTTGGTAGGAGATTCAGCTCTGATCTGCTGCCGCCAAAAAAAAAAAATAAAGTGCTCTGAATAGAGAGAAAGCTGCAGCTGGGGACGGAGGGCGGGTGGCCGCAGGGTGGGCTGTGGGAGCCTGCGTAGCCCGTGCCCTGCCCCGGCCCCTGCCCGTGCGGCTGAGCATCATTTGCTGCCGCGTTTGTCACCGCACGGAGCTGCCGAGCCACGCTCGCTGGGACTCCTGCGCCCGCCTTGAAACCCCGCGTACGGCGGCGCTCCCAAACAGAATCATTCATTATTAATTAGGTCACAATAAAAAAAATCCTACGGATGCATTCGTGACACTAAATGAGCCGATCGCAAATAATGCGACTGTAATGAATTCCAAAGGAATAAATAATGGCTCAGCCATTAGCATAAAGTGCCAGTCGCAGCTCTGCGCTGCCCGCCTGCCCGCCTGGCACCGCTTCCAAAGCCGCCCAGCCGGGCCAGCGCGGGGGTTCCTGCCACAGGCTGCCGGGGGCGGGAGCTGTCCCAGCCCCTGGCATGCTGAGCGGGTCAGGATTCTTTGGTAACTCCCACTGGGGCTTGCCGTGGCATCACCCCAAGGACGGCCACCCCACAGTCCCTTTGCAGGCAAGAAATAAGATAATGTGGAAGCATTGAGGAAGATATTTTTGTACCTCTTGCTGTAATATATAATCAGAGCTTTTGTTCCATGTCCTGCACAAGAAAATTAATTAGGAATTTATCTGACCAGGAGTTCAGTGCAGCGTGCATTTAAAGCAGAGGATATCCCTGTGCATTTGTTTGCTCTTCGTCATGGAACAATTATCTGCCCATTTAGGAAATTCAGCATTTGTTTCTATTTTAATAGAAGCTCCTAAGCATACAAAAATATCACACCACTTCTGATTGTAGTGTGCTTAAAAACCTCCAAGAGGAAAACACCACTTGCAACCTCCCTCCTCTCACCCAGAGCGTTGTCCCAGGTGTTTCCAGGAGGCCACTGGGCAGGCAGCAGCTCCAGCCTGCAGTGGGACAGATCTGCACAGTGCTGTCAGTGACAGCACAGCACCTGGGCAAAAAGAGAGCTCAGAGAGCAGGAAAATAAGACAGGATGAGGCTGGAGGGAGACAGGTGCAGGGAAGCAAAACAGGGATGGTGGGGTTCTGGGAAAGTGCTCTTTCCCCCAAGCTGTGTGGCTGTGATGTGACAAAGCAACATGGTAAACACTACACCAGTGGCTCTGGGGACTTTGGCCCAGGACAGACCCTTCCATCAGCCTCACCAGGCACCCTGGCATATTAAATAAGCAGAACAGGTAATGGGGTGGCAGTGGGACCTGTTTTGTCAGCGTCCCTTCCCTCCCAGCATCCAAGCAGACAGGCGCGTCAGGTGCTTATGCCCCTCTCATGTCTGCTGTTAAAAAACCCAGCCAGGGAATGTCATTAGAAACAGCCACACCATCTGCCTTTTCCTCCCCTCCCCTTTAAATAAGGAAACACCTTGTCAAACACATCCCACTAAATATCCCTAACACCCTCCCGCGCGCTTCGCGCTCAGCGGTTCATGGGATCGTGCACCATCTGGACCCTCGCGCTCCATCTCGCCGACAAGGCCCCGGCTCGGACCCACCGCGTGCCGTGGCCAGGGGCAGGGTTGTACCACCCACATCCATGCGTGCCAGCAGGAGGTCAAGGAATTAAGCCAAAGCAATGAGTTCATGGGGAAAAAAAAAGACCAGCAATTCAGTATCGTTAAACCTAGAAAATTAACCAAGGAGGACCTTAAACACAGACATTTATTAACATGTAAATGGACTGAGTCAGCAATTAGTTAATAGTCAGCATAATTGAATAGAATATGGCAATGAAAGTGCCATTTAATTATTCTCATTTCGTTTAAGATAAATATTTACTACAATCGTAGGATTTCCCTTGTCTTTGGCAAGGAACACCGATATGAAAGTATCAAACTGTGTCAAAGTTCCTCAAGAACTTTAAAAAGGCAGGTTGCCACTTCCTGTCCTCACAGTGCTGATCCCTGATGCCATGGATGAGCATGGCCAAGGAGCACTTCCCACTCTCCTGTGCTTGGGATGGCTCCTGTGGGACACAGTGACCGGTGCCTGTGGGCCCCAAGCCATGCAAGGTGGGCGCTGAGTGTGGTTTGGGGCTTGCACAGGCTCAGCTCCCTCCTGCCACAGCCCTGCAAAGCCAGGCAGTGTCTCAGGCACACGTGTGGCACACGGCCCCCAGCCCTGCTCACTGACCGTGCAGACGAGTCTTTGTTCTTGGTGATTACTGTGCAGACAACACACTCACCCGGCTGCACCGAGACACTGCGTACGCACCACGCAGTGTGCTGATAAGGGAAATAGTGTGGAGAAGAGCCTAAGGAGATAGAAGAACATTATTTTAAATTATCTTGAACATAAAAACAAAGTGAGGATTTGGCAACCTTGCAGCAAAAACCTCAAAACCAGTTATTCCTTTTAAATAAAAACAAAAATGAGAAACAGTAACTATTAGAAATCCCACCTGGTGCTTTCTCTGCGTTAATGATGCTTCTTAAATTGCATGTGGGTAAATGGTAATTTTGTCTCACACCATTAAAAACTAATGGAACCCTTGATGATAAGAAATGCCATAGCTAGCTTGTTGGAAAACGTTTAATTAATAAAGTAATAAAATTATTGTAAACTAGTGCAGTTTCACAGAGGATTCAATGGGATATAAAACAGATAAAACATCCATGAGAGTTGATACAAGAAATAAATGCTCCTCTATAAAAAACAGCACTATAAACTTAAGCTGGTCTGCATTATACTGACTTAACACAACCTATGATGACACTAAAGGTGTTTGGATGGCCTTTCATGGGAAGTGGTGGGAAAACCTCCTGAGTGCAGACAGGTGTTTTCATGAGGAGCTGAAAGCCAGCACACCTTCCCCTGCACTGGTGTGAGCCCAAAGATGGCTGCTGGTGGGCTCTGCTGCTGGTGCAGCCCTGTGAGCCCATGAGAACAATTCTGATGGCGTTATTGCTGTTACTTCCCGACCCAGAGGCTCCAAAGTGAGGGACACCACCTCCACTAGCCTGAGTGCCTTTGGGATGAGGCACCATCCCACCCTGCTGCTACAGCCACTTTGATGCATAATTTTCATTAAACAAGTGGTATCAGAGAGTGGAGAGGAGGCATCAGACACTTTTCTGCCCCAGGCAATTACCCCTCGTGCTCTATGTATCTGGATTTCAGCTCCATGCAGGTGGCCAGCTGGTGGCATGGCTGTGACACCATGCTTGTACACATTAGTGCATGTACATGACATCCCAGCTGCTCCAGGAAAAAAAGGGTTGGAGAGTGGCAGGTATGGGGAAAAACATGCTGGCAGAGAAGGCAGGTTACTGCTCCTCATCCTGCTCCTGCCCCAGTGTGTGTTTCACATCGTCCTGCAGACATTTTCTAGCAAGCTTTGGGAACAGTTTCCTGTAACTGGGAGACTGTAGAGAGGCATTCTGCATTGCACGAGCTGTGCCAGGTACCCTGGTACGTACACACCCACGTTCAGGAACCCATACTTTTCCATTACACTCACACCTCAATAATTTGCACATTTTAGCTTCAGGATGTCATTTCCCATGTGTCCAAACTTCCCTTTCTCCTGAGACTCAAGCTGAAATCTCAGTGACAAGCACCATCAGCTCTATTGGTGAGCAGCGCTCAGCCCATGCTGACGGGACATGGGAGGAAGGAATGGCTCAGAGAAAGGCACACACAGGCATGCCCTGGATTTTGGGGTGTCATGAGAGACACTTGCAGCACTGGCACTTGGCAGGCCCTATGCAGAACCAGCACTGTCGAGGCAGCAATGCCAAGCAATGCCAGCACTCTGAGATGGGCCACAGACAGATCTGGAAGGTTTGGGACCAACATGGCCCAGTATTTTTCTAAACCTACAATGACATTTCTCTGTAAAGAGCTGGAAGTGTTTCTCTAGTGGGCAGGCTTGCCTTCTTTCCCTCCCACATCAGAATAGTTTATGGTCACACTCTGCTGTGCTCCCAGTGTGGATGGTTTCTTTCGCCAGAGCTTTGTACAAACACCATCAGAGCCATGGTCTCTGCCTCCCATATAACTAAAAGACATGATATTGCAGTATGTATAACTGGTACATTGCTGCAGCACAAAGGTTAATCTTGTGTTCCTTGGCTGCATATGTCTTGGTTGTAATAAGGGGATGGTCAGACCTTACTCATAGAAAGTCTGATCTCCCCACCAAGCCACCACAGACACTGCTCTGCCACTCATGCAACCACAGCTTCTGGTTAGTGTTTGAAGCAACATCTACTTTTCATTTTAGTGTTTCTGGTTTCCTCAGCAGTCTCCACCTTGATCATAAGTTAGAAGGCATCCTGCTTGATCTGTAGTTTTAAAATGAAGTGGGTGATTTTTTTAAACAACATCAGCATAAATAACACTGCTGACAATAACAGTTGCCCACTGCCGCTCAACTTCCCGGGTGCCACACCACACCAAGGGCTCCTTACTCACTTTGGCCTCGATATATGGAGAGACTGGCAATAGAAAATCATTTCTCCACCCAAGGCACCATCCGCCTCTGGGAAACCTACTGTGGTTTCCTCTTGTAGGCAGGTTTATTTTTGAGGTAGCCTCAACAATGTGGGCATGGGGAGAAGGCTGCTGCTCTTTACTGAGGCAGAGTGAAAATGTTTATGGGGCTCCATAATTGAGCCCCACTGGCAATACCAGCAATGACTTTTCTATTTCTGTGGTGTGTGAGAAATGAAAACATAAGTGGCAGTGCATAGAAGATTGGTATGGCCAAAGCTGGGATATTTGTTCCCTGGCAAACTGTGGTTGCTCTTGATTTAGCCACAGTTTTCCCAGCTGATGTTTTGCAAACCCCACAGAAGATTCAGCTTTCAAGGCTGTGAAAGTGAACGTGGGGCTGGAAGCCGCCCCTGCGTGCACTGGCAGGGAGTCAGGCCGAGCCTCCTTCTTTCAGAAGATGTTGCTTGTTCCAGGACTGCGTGGCTGTGGAGGCAGTTTGGGGACAGAGATTTAATCTTTTATTTTTCCCATATGTCATAAGTATGTCTAAGATGATGACAAAATAATAAGTTGGTGGCTGCTGGAAACTTTTTTTTAGCAGCTGTGTTTTTAGAATATTATAATCAACCATCCTTTTGCCTTAATGACTTAAAGACTTCTAAAGTAAGTGGGAGTTTACTGTACCTTTTCTCAACTTAAAGCTTTCCCATGTGGGGATTATGACTTTGTTTTCAGGAAGGGAGGGCAGAAGAAGCATGGCAGAGCTAAAAACATGGAGTAAAGTTTATCAATCCGGATTACAGTATAAATTACGAAAATTACTGCAGTGATTTTAACTTACAGCTATTGTATTAGGAGCAGGAAAAGAGGTGACATTGTATTTCATCTGCACAATGACTGAGTCTCTTTGCCTGGGCTCATTTTCTGCAGAAATTTTAATGAAGCAAGTGTAGTATTTTTTGGAAAAAAGAAAGGGTGAACTGTGAATAAAGGGAAAAGAACAATTAAAAGCTGACTGTTAATAAAGCATGTGGGTGACAGGGCTATGTCCCCACTCGGTTCCGGCACTAGGCTCAGGTAAAACCCGAGGGCTGTAGCTCAACAACGCACTCCTGTCTGTCAGTGTTAGATTTCGGGTTTTTTTTATAAATGACATGTTTTCTTTTGGCAGATGGGAACAAGCCTTGAAGAATAAATTTTTTGGAGGCAAATTGGCTGCCTGGAAATATATGTATTTAGGAACCTGTCGGGTGCTGTGAGTGTCAGCACCACCCAGCTGAGCTGGCCAGCACCGCTCTGCTGCTCGCCTGCTCCAGTCTCCTCCCAGACCCCCCAATTCCCCAGCCGACCACTGCCAGGTCAGAGCAAAAATAACAACTCCGATACAAGATTTGCTCTGGATATTGCTGATATTGCTTTGTGCCTGCCTTATAAAACTTCCCCGTTGGCTATTTCTCCAGCCAGGGGATTTTACCCAGATGAATGTGCTTGCCTGCCTCTCACCAGCTGCCAAAATCCACCTTATCTGTAAGTGGAAATAACGCTTGGCCTCGGGTCGATCAGAGCCACAATGCTCTTTACGAGAGGAGGTGAAATAAAACCGTTCCCTGTGTTAACAGCTGCGAAAGCCGGCGTGCTGAGAGGTTAAGTGATTTGCCGGGTGTGAAGGAGGATGGTGCCTGGCTCTCGGGAACCCTTTTTTGGGAGGGGGGTCAGGAGGGTGGTGGAGGAGGAGAGCACAGACCCCAGGCATCACCACAATTCCCATTCCCACAGGAGCACCTGGTGGGGAGAACCACCTGTAACATGCCTTCCCCCAGGCCAGGCGTAAGCAAAGTTTTACCGGGAAAAAAAATATATTCTGCAAAAATCCTCCTAAAATTAGGTACTGAAAGCGGGTGTTGGGTTTTGTGAGCCAGCATCAGAAATAGGTGGCAGCTGGAAAGATTTTGGAATATTTTAGAACTGCCTAAGTGTTGGGAGGTAAGCAAGGGGAGAAGTAGATTAAGCCAGAAGCCAGATGCCTTGAAGCCTAAATCAGTGCTCATGACCAGCAGTCTCTTGTCTGCCTCGGGACATTTAGGCCACATTTAACCAAGAGAAATGAGCACCTTTAGTGATTCAGGACACTATTCAGGATGTCCAAATCACAGCCTAAGAATCTGTATCATTCTTCAATATAGGTGGTGCAGCATATGTTCATACTACAGAATAGTTCATTTCTAGAAATGTAGTATTTTTTGCCACTTTATTCAAGGGATGTGCTAGACATGAAGTGGCTATATATGTACAGGTAAAGGTAACAGGGAAGGCACCATAAAAGGCACACTGAAAAATTAGGCAGTGTTGTTCCCCAGTTTTGTAGGGTCGGTAAAACTGATAGCAGCTCCCTAGCAGTGGCTTCATCTCCACGCTCACAGTGTGTGTTCTTAACACCTTCCTTCTCTGCAAAACTGAAGTATTTAACCCAAAACATACAAACAAATCTGTTATTCTTCTCCTTTATTAACCTTCTGAGTCCTCAGAAATCACACACGAGGAGAAAGCTCTTCCCTTTTCCTTTGTCTAGGAGACGAGGTTTAAACTTTACATGCAGACACATGCATACATGTAAACCTAACGTGTAATCAGGCACATGCACCTACTTTCTTCTTCTCTATAAATATATACACACATATGTATATCCACAGATATGCAGGCATGTGTGCATATGTATGTGTACAAAGAGAGAGAAAAAGACTTTGAAAATGAAAGACAAATGTTAGAGAATGATATTCCCAAGCCCTCAAATCCCTAATCATGAGTTTGATGCAATAT